GGTGTCCTAATACTTTTGGCAATATAGTGTGTGTGTGTATATATATATATATATACTATATGCAGTTCTTTCCATCCAGATTTCTCATCTGATTCTTGCCTTTCTGCAGATGTCTTAGAACATATGCCTCTGCCTACACAGTTATATCACAGAAAGCATTGCTAACATTCCTCCAGACTTCAATTCACACAGCCCAAATCTCCAGCAGGGATGGCCTTAGGACTCCTAAAGGGACACTGGGAATGGTCTGTTTCACTTGATGGACCTGCTGGTGGTCTTGCTTGCCTCCATGCCCTCTAACTGCTTCCATTTCTCCAGATACTGGAAGTGTAATGTAAATAGTAACTTTACGACTGCAGGTTACTGGGCATGAATGAAACAACGAGGAGCAACAAGTACCTTATTGGCTTTGCCCAAACAAGTCTCACTCCATGAGTTGCATTCTGTGTAAAATACGATATGTGAAAAATCCAACTAAGAGCATGCCAGAATGGCAATAACCACTGGGCAAAGCAAAGAACTTAGTGGTGGTCCTTGGAAACTCCTAATGCTGGGGTAAGGGAACAGAAGAAGTAGGATAAATGGAAGGTGAGGATAGAGAGGCAAAACAACTGACAGAAGTCATCATAGAACAAGCAACAGCAGAGATATAGCAAGGCAATGTACAGACCTAGTACAAAGTTGCAAATCCAGAAAGCAGTTTATGGTTTCGGCAAACTCTTCTACCTAAACTTGGCTAATTTGCCTTCATAACTGCTCTTGCATGGAGGTTAGCATGTTCCCCATCAATTCTTTCTGCTCAACTAACCCCTTCCTGTATCCAGGCAAATGAAAACTCCATATCCTGTGGCATATAAATTTGGAAATGCAAGGCGGCCGAAGACAGTGGACTAGAACAATGAGATAGAAGGCAAACAAACCAAGAATGGGTGATAGCCAAGAAGCAAAGAGGACAATCAGGAAGTATTGGGAACTAGATAGACACAGACAACTGAGTAACAAGCAACGTAAAAAAAAAACAATCAGGCAACCAGATCCTGGACAATGTGATTGATGGTCATTTACACCATGGGATTTTTTTTTGATAAGGAATTTTACTAAGGTGTATAAGTTTATTTACTTTTTAATCTATTTGTGAATAAGTAACCAGGGGTACTATGTACTCCATACTAATTCACGTGTGGGGGGAGGGTAGATATGTGAGGGTCCCCTTATCTTGATCGTCCCCATGTTGAGGGCATGTGGCCTGGTATGGTCCTGACTATTGACCTGCTAGGCTGCATGCCTGTATAAGGGTCTGGTATGGATTGGGGGGGCGCACACTCTTTCTTCTTGGGCTGAAAGAGACCACACGAGAAGAGGAAACCATGCTAAATCTTCCCGAACAATTCTGCAAACCCTGAAATGGAAGAATGGGCATGATCTGGTATACACAGGGAAGGGGTCAAAGGTCCACATGCAGTTGATTTCCATAGCAAGAACTTGAGCTGAATAGCCCCACTTGAAAACCACACAAGATTAATGGCATTGCCAATAACAGTGTCCAGTGCAGGTCCAATGAGATGATTTCCCTTAAAGGGCAAGTAAACTAGATGTTCCTTGGCAAGGCTCCAGCCATTTGTTCTCATTGCTCCATAACACGCGGGCTTACCCTTGTGATGGAGGGTGTGATGGCATCAGTCTTGAATCCCGCCGTTGCCACCAATATGTATTTATGGCACTCTCAACCTTACTCTGCTCAGAGATTTTCCAGCTCACAAGTCAACCAAGTGCCAGCAGACTAAGAAAAATCACTACTGGGGACCATTAACTCTGCAGTTAACCCCTTATACACAAATAGCTACCACCAGAAATGGAGACCAGTCACAGTATCTGATGTAACAATTCTGACCTCCAGGAAATGTCTGTGACACTCACTGCCATGCAGACAGGAAGGTAACAGAGTTTAGATTATGGAAGTGTTCTTCAAAGAGGCAAATATTCTTGAATGACTTATTTAAAGCATTAAAAGAATCAGCTTAACATATTTTTTTTTAAATACCATTTTAATGAAAGAAAGAAAAAATAGTGCAAGAAAAAGGTTTTAAGGAACATTTATTACAAAATAGACAACAGCAACAGTAAAATAAATGTAAATAGAAGGTGAAAAGTACTTAACAGGTTCTGCCTTGTCTTTGATTCTGGCAGAGTCCACTTCACTTCAGCACAAGTCCGATTTTGATAGAGTCACTGGTCCTCAACAATGACTCTCAGCATTCATGCATAGTTTCATGTTTGAGTATACTTCAGTGGAAACTCCTTTAATATCATCATGTTTCTAATTGTATCAATATTTCCGTATGACCATGTTTTACAGTATAACAACCAACATATTATTGCAATTCACCTTCTGAATATTACAGCCTAGGCGTGTTTGGCACCTAATTGATAGTTACTAGGGATGCACCGATATCGATACTAGTATCAGGAAGCTGGACAGTGAGTCATTACCCGCCCCCCGGCTTCCTGATTGGCCAGAAAGTCGGCTTCTTGGATCCGGCTTTCTGGCCAATCAGGAAGCTGGGCACCGTGTAATGACTCGCCGCCTGGCTTCCTGATTGATTGGGAAGCCGGCCAATCAGGAAGCCGGGGGGCGAGTCATTACCTGCCCCACGGGCGCCTGCACAGACTCCAGATCGTTTGTACCGCCATTGTCTTCCCCAGGCACCACTAGCCCCGTGCGGCGCCTGGGAGCGGCTCAGCTGGTCTCCCCGCAATGATCGGAGAGAGAATCAGCGGCTTTCAGCCGCTCATCTCTCCTCTGATCACTGGACCCGGAAGTGTTGTGTATTATATCACTTCAGGTGTCACTGTACACAGCTCTTAGACCTCAGCTTCTTTGATGTCCCTAGGTGACATTAGGGGTCTGAGACCCCTGATGTCCCCATAAAGAGGACCTGTCACACCCTATCTGCTATTACATAGGGTGCTTGTTAGCCCCTATGTAATAGCAATAGGGTTAGTGTATAAAAAAATAAAAAGTGTTTAAAAGTTATAAAAATTAAAATAACATAAAAGAAAAAAAATGCGAAAAAAATGTTTTAAGTCCCCCGCCCCCCACATTAACACGGAACCATGCGTCGGTGCGCCTACGTGCGAAAACAACAATTGCGCTACACACGTTACATATCAATCATTCTAGAGCCATCAATCACTGTTGGCGCTAAACTGATGAGCGGTAAAAGCGTTTTAAATGTTCCCTACACGAAATTTTGGGTATTTGCTTCTTTTGCGGCTTCACGGGCGAATGCAATTTTAAGGCTTGACATGTTTAGTATCTATTTACCTGGTGTGACCCCGTCTTTTATATGTTACCAAAAAATTGGGTATTATATTCTGTTTTTGTGCACTAAATTTTAATTTAGGTCATTTTTTCATAAAAATACTGGTTTGATAAACATTTGCGCAATGTAAAAAATTGCAACTAGCATTTTTTGTATTCTACAGAGCCTCAGCTTTCAGAAGATATATCATTGTTTGGGGGTCTGCAGCTGTTTTCTAGCCAACAATGTATATTTTATCACGTGTGCGCACATGGTAAGAAAATGCCCCGGACAGCAAGTGGTTAACATGCTTTAGTAGAATATAAACAGAAGAATCCAGACTTTAATATATTAATGCAGATTTGTGATTTTTATTCAAACGTTACATCGGATTTTTTTTTTTTGTTCTAAAATGTCTTACATAGTAAAATAGAACACTGTGATTTGTTTATATATATAAGGAGATCAAACTACTGTAAATGTATTCTATAAAAACTCTATAAGCTTCTATATCAGGTTATATAGTTCAGAAGTTCACACAGAAATGATTGCACAGTTTAGGGTAGAAGTGGCTTTTATAATGTTCAGTGTGCCCATCAGAGAGAACTTTCCATGGGATTCCAGCTCCACCTCTATACGTTTTACTTTCTTGCTTAGTTTTAAAACAAATGATGTCATGCTCCCCCTGCTAAAGCATTCATAGAAAGACATGCGGGTGTGTCCCAATACTGGTGAAAATAGTTGGAGGAGCCAGGGTCCCTGAAAATGACAAAAAACTGGCCAGCGATTGGCTATACCCGTGTCCACCGGAATTTGGGCTATTGCATACTTTCAGAGTATCCCCTCCCTTTACCTACTCTCCTGCAGCTATTGCACACTTTCAGAGTATCCCCTCCCTACACCTACTCTCCTGCAGCTATTGCATACTTTCAGAGTATCCCCTCCCTACACCTACTCTCCTGCAGCTATTGCACACTTTCAGAGTATCCCCTCCCTTTACCTACTCTCCTGCAGCTATTGCATACTTTTAGAGTATCCCCTCCCTATACTTACTCTCCTGCAGCTTAGGAACGGCAATCTTAGATTTCCCCCACAGTGCCACTGCAGGTGAAAACTGGTATTACAATTTGTCTGTTCAAATATAGTGCCATACATGGTTCATGCAGTAAATGCGAGTTAGCATCAAGAAAGGGTGCAGCTTTTGTCTTCAAATGCGGTGGTGGGGTGGACTGCACTATGCTACCACATTGAAGATAACAAAATAGAGTCCCACTTATCATGTGTATCAAAGTGTTTCAGTCAACCCTTTTTTCCCCCCTTAGTTATGGATAGAGTAGGGAAGGGTTAGAACCCTGTCACTTTTTTTGTGTGTGTGTGTCAATGCTGGGGAGATGCAACCTCTCCATTTGTCCTGGTGACCACTATCACTCAGGCAGAAAGTGATGGGAAATCCAAAATTCGACAGCTGTCACTGAAACAGGAAGTGAGGGGGAATCTTGAAATGGGGATACCTGTTCTATCTCTTTCCTCTTTCTTGCTGTTGTGTCTCCAGGGCAAAAAGTCAGAAAAAATCTCCCAAGTAAGACAAAGACAGCAAGAAAAACCCGGCAAAGATTTTAACCATTCCCTAGTCAATCCAAAACTGAAAAAACAAAAAACTTTTGACAGAGAAACACTTTAAAATAAAATAGTCCTTTAACAAGCAGGCATTTGGCTTTGGGATTTAGTGTGTCTGTCTTCTCAGAGCTGGGACAGACACCCGGATCTTCTCAGCCAGTATGAAGGCAATCTTCTTCTCATAATAAGCAGCTTCATTAATAAAGACCGGGTAAATTGGCTTCTCTCCACTGTAAGGAATTGACTGTCCATCCAGAGTCAGAAAGATCAGGTCACCGGGATGTAGCAATGAAAAATCCTTATCCTACAAAGACAGGTTATTGGTTGAGGTTTTTTAACTTTAGGTTTTTTGGTGAAAATAACAAGGATTACAACATTGCAACTATAGAACCAAAGAGTACAATACCTTATAGATGTACTGTATATATCTATCCATCGATAGATCGATAGATAGATAGATAGATAGATAGATAGATAGATAGATAGATAGATATCAAGTGACCGTGAGGCCAGGGTTATAAATCAGATATATGATTATTATGACATTAATGGGTATCTTAACAGAAAATCCTTATAGTTTGTTTATACGAAAGGCTTAACATGTAGGAATATGAGAAGGAAGGAAAATGGAGTGTAAAAAAATGTTTCACTTAACTTTATTGCTATCACACAGGAGCTAGCAAACACGCCCCTGTGTGATAACCTTTGGAGGTGACAGGTTGTCTTTATTGACCCTGTCACCTCCAATCCAGGAGTTCTAGCACAGCATTGTGCTGGAACTCCTGTGACAGATGAGATGGGAAGAGCACAGCTCTCCCCTCTCGCTGTATACACGGAGCGGAAGGGTTAGTTTTAACTCTGCTGCTCTGCTCACTGCATCGGCGGCCAGTGAGGAGAGACTCGGCGGCCGTGGGGAGGACGGAACCAGAGGAGAGAGGTAGGTGTGGGGGAGGACGGACAGGCTGCACACATTTTACAACTGATCGCGACGATCACTTGTAAACGAACAAGCGGCTTCCCCACACTACATTTAGTCCCGCCTTCCCAAAGCAGGACTAAATGTAGAAAGCGCAACTTAACGCCCGGAACTCCCTGCCGGGGGTAGAAGATAGTAAAGTCCCTTTTTGTGCCAAGAAGTAAGGTTATGGTAAGGTATATGTTATTCATACGTTCTCAATTGAATGGGGACTTCACATGGATTGGTATTAATTTCTTTATAGTTAGTTAAAAAGCGCCATGCTTGAAGGGTGGACAGGATAGTGGGATAATCAGGAGGCTTAAGCATTTTGTCTAGAGAATGGGCTATCAGCCAAGCTTTAATATCGCCCATAGGGACAACATTGTGTTCCTTAACTAGTCGTAATGTGTGGGATGGTGTTTGAAACCAAGCTGTAAATCGGTCTAAATGGGAGGCCTGATAATAATGTTTTACGTTAGGAAAGCCCATTCCTCCCAAACGTTTGTGTCGCCATAAAAAGGAGTGTGGTACTCTGCTTTTCTTACCTTGCCAAATAAAGCTGTCGATAATGCTTTGCAATTTATAAAAAAAAAGGACGTAAAGCGCTGTGCAAACTATTGGCGCTATATACATCCTGAATAATAATAATAATAATACATAATCTTCTTGGGAAGAATGGCCATCTTAAAAAAGTCAAAGGTCTACCAACCCAAGATAGTTCAAATTTACTGAGACGGGACAATTCCATTGTAAGATTTTCTAGGAGAGGGAGGAAGTGTTGTTTGTATGTGGCGTTGGATGTGAACGACAAAAGAATAACTAGATAAGGGATTTTTTAATCAGCCCAGCTGAATGGGAATTCTTTTTGTAATTTACAAGTCATTGTAGGGTTTAAATTTAAATCTAATATCTGGGATTTCCCCTCATTCATTTTGTAATAGGATAACATGCCAAACATGTGAACAGTTTTCTGAAGGAAGTCGCCGGTTCTCAGAGCATTAGGTTCAGGGGCATAACTAGAAATCACAGGGCCCCGTAGCAAAATTTTGTATGTGGCCCTGTAATTTCTAGTTACGCCCCTGGCAGAGCTTCGTATGTGATATGTGATACCAATTAAAGTAAAGTAGAAAAAAAAAAATAACAGTTTTTAAAATTAATATTAAATGAAATAAATGTAAAAATAATTTGAAAAAAAATTAATGTCCCCTGCGAGCATGCACGTCTTCACGTAAATGCGCGTTGGGTGCGCCTACGTATGAAAACGACAATCACGCTACACATGTTGGGTATTGCCACACACGCTGAAGTGAGAGCAATAATTCTAGGGCCAGTATTTATGCGTATCTCTAAATTGATGACCTGTGGGGGCTTTTAAAACGTCGTCTATGGACTTTCTGGGGTACTGAAATTTGAGTTTCACGGACACACACAATTTTTAAGCTGTGCATGTTGGGTATCTATTTACTCGTTGTAACCTCATCTTTTATATTTTATTTTTTTTAATGGGTATTTAATTGTGTTTTGGGGCATTTAAGGGCATTTTTCACTCCATTTTGGGGTTTGCAGGGCCGGTGCTGCCACTAGGCAAACTAGGCAGCCGCCTACGGCGCACTATTGCCTAGGGTGCAGCCTCGAACACTCACCTCCTCCACGGCACGGCGCCCCTCGTCTATTTCAAATTGCAAAAGCCAATAGCAGGCTGGCTATTGTACCCGCCCACTGATCAGAGGAGCGGAACTGAGAGACAACTTTCTCTGTTAGGTTAGTTCATCTGCTCAGTGGTGGGTTTCAATAGCCAGTCTGCTATTGGCTATTTCAAATTAAAATAGCCAATAGCAGTCTAGATATTGCTCCCGGCTGCTTATGAGGGGGAGGGGGGGGGGATAGGGGGTTGCGCCGCGGGAGGAGGACTGAGGGGGGCAAGTAGCTGGTCTTGCCTAGTGCGCAAAGTAGTCTAGCCCCGGCCCTGGGGGTGTGATAATACGTTACGCTAATATTGTGCAACATAAAAATGTTAAACTGCCAAGATTTTATTCTACAGGGTCTTGGCTTTCAGGAAATATATAATGTGTGGTATATAAGCCAGTTACATACTTACAGTATATGTTTCTACCCACCCACCTCCTGGCATTATGATGTTACACACATTATGCCAGTTACATTCCCGAGATAACATTGTTATTATTAAGTATGACACAACCCTAAATACAATCCATTTATCTCCAAAAATTGATACGGCACGTACCTGCAGGGAAGGATGGATGACCGCTGATATCTCCCCATCCGATGACCGGGGAAAATCCACCTGACCAGAACACTGGTAAGTATCAGTTTCAAAAGCTGGAAACTCCATTCCTAGAAGGCAGTGTTGAACATATGTGAATTACTAGCCTTAGTCTATTGCATTTAAAGTGAACCTGTCATCACAATAACAAATTAGTAATACGCCCCTAACAGCAGACATGTCAAGTCCACAATCAAGGTGAACTCTATATGTCCATTTTTACAGGAGTGCCAATTTCAGGCTCTGTTTCACCTAGGGATGCACCGATACTAGTATCGGTATCGGTGCCGATATCGAGTATTTGGGTTAGTACTCGTACTCGCCCAAATGCTCCGATACCTAGCACGAGTACTTCCTGTATCAGGAAGCCCGGCAGCACATCATTACACGCTGAGAGAGCATGGAGCCGACTTCCCGGCCAATCAGGAAGCCGGGTAGCGTGCAATGAGTACTTGATCAAAAGTACTCGGTCTTAAAAAAGTGGTATCGGTACATCCCTAGTTGCCATCTGTCCAGGACTCACCCGGACAGTTCGGGTTTTGAATGCTGTTTCATGGCAGCGAAAACCCGAACACAAGATGTCAGGCATACAGGGGCAACCAAAATTAAGATCGGAGCTACTGCCCCCCTCACTGAAAATAGTCTCAACTGTGATATTTACATATAGTATGAATAAGCCGCGACTCATTCTCCCCCAAAAAATGTCTGCACGTCGCTAGAGTGCTCGGGTTTCGCTGAAAGAAAAGGTGGCAACCGTAGTTTCACCCATGGTATTACACCATGCAATAAGGACACATCTCTGTTGGAGGCTGAGCCACTGGGGATTAGGGATGGGCTCGATGTTCGAGTCCAACAACAGTTCAACTCGAACATCGGTAGTGTGTGTTCGGCGAACTATCAGGGCGTTCGGTGGGCTTTTCACCAGCCGAGCGCCTCACAAGGCACTGCACACCGCACAGTGCCGTGTGAAGCCCTGATTGGGTAAAGCAATGCATCTAACCATAGGTGCCATAGGACAAAATCAGCTCTACCACTTGCCACAGCAATGCTTCTGATTCCTCCCTGGTGGTTGATGCATGCCACGATCGCTGTGTTTTCCATCTAAATCTGGATTGGATGAGCCTCCAACAGGGTGATCCAACACTGAAGGAACAGACAAATTGCCAAAAGCTCCAGGATGCTTATCAGGAAACAAGATTCCTCTGACAACCGAGTCCCCTGCACTAACAAGGTGCTTAGCATTCGTCGCCAGTGGGACAGGAAGAAAGACTTCCCAAATTCCAGAGCTGCATTCCTGGGACAGGGATAACCTGGTCTTTGGTAGAGTGGAGAGGAGTTCACATTTAGGCAGGCTATGCTGCCTGTTATGAGGTGAGCTTATCTAAAAAAGGCACAAAATCATTGAATGCCTGTGAAGATAAGTCACTAGCACATTTACATTGATGTACAGGTCTGTATGCATGTATGAAGCACAACAGAGATCAGCAAGTCACATGCTCCAAGAGTTTTTTTTAATTAGTTTTTATGATTCTGTGTTGCGATGCTAATGGATATTTCGGACACCCACAGGATTTGCAAAAGCGTCTGCTTGGCTGTTGACAGAGAGCTGGTTTCTCACAATGGAAGGTGCCTTCTAAACAGACAAAACTGGTTTTTGATGCTCCAGCGCCTCTAGGTGGCGCCGGAGCAGCTCCTGCATTTCCAGTGCTCACCTGCAGGTGTCTCCAGGCAGCCAGTGGCTGTCAGGGACCTGAGCGCCTCCAAGTGGCACTGTGACACTAGAACCAGGACCTGCAGCTCCAGGGCTCACCCGCAGGTGTCTCTGCAATTAGGCACCACCTGTTGATGATCTGGGAGGGTATTTAATCCCTCGATTAAGTGAGCCTGGTGCCACAGTATTGTCGCCATTACCTGAGTCCTCCTTGTTGCCCTAACCTGTATCCCGAGTCCTGTATCACTTGTTTGTGGTTACTTTATTTTGGTGTGTCTAATAAACTGTACGTTCATAAGCTCATAGGCATTGTCTAGTGTGGTCACGCATTTGGTCCTCCCGTGTGGGTACCTGCATGCCGTGTGGGGACACCTGCACATGGTACCCTGACACAATGGTATGCCTGCCCTGTATTGTTCCCCATTATTCGTATCACAATGGGATAGTGTTATGGGGAAACCTTGTGTACAATCACACCTAGATTGGTCAAGACTTATTCAATCTTGACTACTGATGGCAATTCTTGATACTATGCTGCCACCTAGAGGTGGGCAAGTGAAATACATTGTATTTCACCTTTATACAAGTTTTGAGGGGCAACACCTACAAGTGGGATGCCATTCTTCTCTGAAAAAAAGCCAGCAGCCCAAACTTTGAGTACGGACTTCACTATGGACTCTAAACAAGGAAGGACTGAACTCTAATGCAAAGGACTTAGACACCAGAGACTGCAACGAGAAGCCATTTTCCTGCGAACGCTTAATTGCCAAGAAGTCCTGTTCATTAAGGAATTTACGCAATATGCAGCCTTTAAGTAATTAACAGGCAGCGCTCCGTCCATGACAGGTTACACAGCGGGGGGGATTTCCCTGCTCAGTAACCTGTAATAAGCCACTCTGACTGGAGAAAAAGCTGTCAGCTTCATACTTGAAGCTGACAGCCTTTTCCTCCATAATACTAGGTGAGGCTTTGCCTCCCCTGACCGCACGTCCCTGGTAGAAGCAACAGGTTGATCTCTAGTTTCAGAATCTAGAGTCTCTGTGGCCGATGGCTCAGCAGCTGCTAAGGCTGCAGATAATCCTATACACAATCTGCTGGTGAGGACACAGGAGCACGCTTCTGGCCTCCAAGTCAGCAAACACCGGGTCATTTGGATCATAAAGTCTTGCATGACTGTAGTACAGACCTCAGCTGAAAGTACCCAGCCACACCCAACAGACCTAAAGAGGACGCCATAACTCCAGCCTGAAGATATTGCCACCATCAGCAAGTGTGCTGCAAGCAGTCTCCGAGCCATTAGTAGAAAGTGAGCTGAGGGCACCCGGTACAGCAAGACTTTCCCTGACACCCCAATCCAAGATGTCGCAGCCACAGTCCAATACGACAATGTATAGGATCAGGAAAAAAGGCAAAGCATAATGAACTCACAAAACCCGGACAGCTGATAGCAGACCAAGACTCCAAAACCGAACTGTCCGGGAGGAAACCAGCCGGGCGGCAACCCTAGGTCGGGTAGGAATGGAACGGGAGATTTCCGCTAACAAATGCAGCTCTGCTTGAAATATCAGGTTTTTTTTTGTAATGATCTGCTTTATTTTTTAGTAAATCATTTCTCACTCGTACCTTTGTTGAGGTGATTAATAAAGTCCAAAGTCATTTCAATAACTGTCTTCATTTTCTGCAGTATATCAGCACGGACAACCCCCTGCGGCTGAGGACCTAACTCAAACCCTGCAGCGAAAGACACACAAGTCATTATAAAAGAAAAAACAAAGCGGCTTCTTATAAATCTCAGAGTTCTACAAAAGTATCTATTGCTTCATATAAAATAAAGGAATGTGTAAGAGACTTACCTGCAGATGGACTCCTGCCCATAAACGTGCACGCACACAAGTATGCAATCCATTGCCCAAAGTTCCTGGAAAACGTGCGGTTTAGCAGGTGAACGCGCGCGTACGGGAACGTTTATGTGCGATAGCACGCGTACGTGAGCGCGCAGAAACGTGCTTGTTAGCGTACAGGTGCACGCTCATTAGCATGAATACTATCCTATTTAAACAGATGTGGCAGTGCGTGGCAATGCCACAGAGTATGCTGGCAACACGGTCACCCAGGAAATCCAGCCAGAGGGGCTGAGAGGTTCCAGAATGCAAATAGTTCTGCAGGGAAGAAACTGGCCTTTCATTTCCTTCCAGTTTTTCTGGATTGTAGCTGGAATCTGGATCTCTGGAGATTTCTTTGTGTTCTGGGTGGGATGAAATCCCCAGTCCTGAGGTCAGGTGTTGCCAGTCATCAGGTGGCTGAGAGCAGCCTAATTAAGAGCTCAGACAAGAGCTCAAGTGGTGGAGAAGTTGGTGTGGGCTGCAGGCACATGAGGGCTCCTGCTGGGAAGAGGGACAGGTTGTGTCCAGAAGCCAGAGTGGAGCCAGGTGGTTGTATGTGCGCTGGAGGCACACGAGGAACCGCCTGGAGGGCTGGAAGGCGTAGAGAGACTGAGAGCAGCCTTATTAAGAGCCCGGACCAGAGTTCAGGGGAGGAGAGCTGTGGGTGTGCAGGAGGCACACGACCACAGGCAGACTCTGCTGCGTGCACGAGCACAAGGGACACAGTCAGTAAGGCTGGAGAGGTCAAGAGGGTTGGGGAACCCTGAGATAACACTTGGAGCTGAGGAAGGCTGCTGAGTAATACTGAGGACTGTATTTACAGAGAAATACGGTAAAGTCCTGGGACTATCACACTGGAAGTTGAGGAGGAACTAACCAGCTGTAGCTGTGAGAGAGAGACTTGCTGTATTGCTGTGCTGTGCCTTGCTGGCAGGACTTATATTCCTGGGAAAGGACTCCCCCAGGTTTGGGACTTTGTCAGTGAGACACGTTTATTTTCTGTTATGTGTGTGGAATTAAAGCTCCTTTATGTTACAGAAGAATAATAAAGACTTTTTGGTTAAAGGAAAAGCCTGTGCCAGTGCTCTGTGAGCTCCCCAACATCACACAGACATGATGCCATGACCAAGTTGCTGAGTGGTCTTCAGCTTGTCCCTGTGTGCCCTGTACTCTGTTCTTGTATCCTGATCTGTGATTCGGCACCTCAAGATTCGGCTCCCTGTGTATGACCTCATCTTGAACCTGACTTCCCTCCTGGTCTGCCACTTGGTGGATCGCTCCAACAGCATCCTGAGCAACGACATCCAGCCAGTGCTTCCTTGGCCTCATACCCATTGCCTGCTCTGGTTTCAAGAGGTCCCGGTGTCATCTCGGTCCTGCCGATTCACCGGCTGGTCCAACGCACTCAAGCGCCTCCTCAAGAACCGGCCAGCCGCCAGTATCGGCACCTGTGCTCCGCTCTGTCCTTACATCCCCTGTCACTACTTCCAGAGGTGTGGGACAAGAGGTGCACGGGCAGCCCCGTTCTCAGCGGAGTCTCCGGTCAGGTACCTGATAGAATGCTTTTATTTGCAAATGATGGTCTCAAGGATTGGGTTCTCCTTTCCTGTTGAGACTCATTACACTACGTCTGTGAGTGCCTTTTGGGCTTTTCAGCATTAAGCAGTTTTTTGCCAGATTTTTAACATTGCCAAATGGTCTTCTGTGCACATGTACTTTAGTCCTACCAGGTGAACGTTTCAGGCTCATTTGATGTTAGCTTTGGGTGTATAGCCCTTCAAGCAGCAACTTAAGCAGACAGTCCCTAGCTTCCTGTTGCTACATTTGGCTTGTTAGCAATTGATTGCTATGTTGCTTACCCCTCGGTAGGGCTGTTTTTTGGGATGCCCCAAGGATTTAAGACTTCCTTTGTCTTCAATGGACAAGTAAATACCCATCGTAAGACCCTTTTCTTGGAATCCATTGAGAGACACAGACCCCTGTGTGTTTATGATCATGCTCTCTGTACTGCTTTGCTACAAAACTGAGGTATGCTGGTACTAGGAGGGGTTTTACCCTAGGCTTATACTTTTTTGTTTGCCAGTGCCCAATCCTCTTGTGGACGGCAGTATAACCCAAAGGTTTAGGACTTCCTGTGCCCCTTAAAGGACTCCAAGGTAAAGATTTTATGGTGACTTCAAAAATCCTTGGCCAAATCCCTTTGGCAGGTTTACATGTGCATTTTTATTGTGTATTTAGCGGTTTACCAACAATGTCTACTTTATAAAAAAAAATTCAGGAAAAAAAAAAAACACACAAAAAAATAAATAAATAAAAAAATAGATGTTAGGGAATCAGCCCTCTCAGGGTGAGATGTTAAAGAAAGCAGATGCGTTTGTAGTAGTGGCCTTTTTCTAACATATAACACATAGGAACCTACTGACTTTAAACACTGCTTCTTGTACTCACCAAGACCACATTTGGCAACAGAGTCCACGCTATAGAGGTCTGTCCCAGGCTTCGCGTACACATATATCCTTGGATTATAATGCGGAAGATGAGTCTAGATGATGACATAAAATAGAAGAGATTCAAGCTGAATGTCATAAGAAGATCACATGACCTTCTTGCAGCTTCCCAACAGCCCTGCTAAAGATTGGTGGTTGATAGTGGGACAATCCAGCCATTTTTTCCTTCTTTTATACATAGCATAGTACCTAATATGTATATGTTTTCTATGTTTCCTCAGGAAATACAGATAAAAAGCATGCCATGTGTGTATGTTAGTTAGCTGCTAGGCCGTTGTGCTGATTTACTTGGAACAAGGGTGCAAAATCAGGAAAGTCGGAGAAAACTCAGAAGTCCTACACCCGGGGCCTTAAGTAATTTTCAGGCCTAAAATTTGGAATATAACATGGGTACAAAAAATGAAAAAAAGGCCTCAGTCATGAAGGGGTTAAAAGGGAAATATCAGGGGTCTGTTTAGACAGTAACAGTAAAGGAAAAAATATATAATTTTATGAAAATAAATACATCAATAAAAATAAAATATTTTGAAAGGGTTAGACATCTTTTTTTTTATTTTCAGTTTTGAAAACTTCATTTCGGTGCATCTCTATCGAGAATTTTGAAACCTTGGTTAGCTTTTATAAGTTTCTAAACTAAAATGAATATCAAAGAGTGAAGTGAAGTCTTCAAAAAGAACTTAGACCTAAACAATTACTTTTTTTTCTCTGAACTTAGTTTCAAAACAATTACTTTTTTTTTTAATCAGGATAGAGTTGTTAGCGCCATACCTAAGCCAACCTTGTGGCACCCAATTTTGTCTGGGTTATTGTTGGGGACCACAATATGTGTGGCCATACCAATAGCTATGCTAAAGCTGACATGGCTCTTACATGCAACACTATTACATCCCAGTAGGGGATCCTTTGGCAGGAGTAGCGTTACCTGCCATTACCTTTACTTAAAGGAGAACTATGGGGTCAGGGCTTTTCCCCATAGTTCTCCTTAGGGTAACGGGAGGACACAAACTAGCGTCCTCCCGTCACCCTAAGCTCAGTATTCTGACATCGATGTCGGGATCCGCTCCGGCGTCTCAGTATACCGCGAGCTGTAGCTCGTGGTATACGGAGACGCCGGAGCGGATCCCGACATCGATGTCAAGATCCGCCCAGCTGCGTGAGTGACAGCTGGCTCTGCCTATCTAGAGACAGAGCCAGCTGTACCCGCCCGTTCCGCTGTCCGTTCCGCCAGTCAGCGCTGGTGGATCGGAGCGTGGATCGGCAGAGAGCTGTGACAGGATCGAGAAGTGAGCGAACGCCCGTATGTGTTCGCTCACTTCCCGATCTACTGAGCCGTCCTGTGACAGTCTCATTGTCACAGGTCGACTAGAACTATGAGGCGAGTGAAAATCAGTCACCTCATAGTTCTCCTTTAACTAAAACATCAACATGTCAGAGCCTCCAGCAAAGTATAGTAGTGACATCACCAAATCTCACTCCAAATTTCTGTCGATTAGCAGTAACATGCAGCAATTTTTAGGTGTGTCAGCAGGGGTGTATCTACTGCAAGGCAAACAAGGCATTTGCCTAGGGCGGCACTTTCCAGGGGGGCGCCAAAAAATGCTGCCCCCAAACCAGTTAGGTGAGAGAAAATAAATAAATTATATTATAAATTATTCATGAATTACTGCCAGTACTCCTGGACCTGGTGCTTCTTTGACTGGGGGATCAACGTGTTTAGTCTTGCCTAGGGCAGCACAAAACCAAGATACACCACTGTGTGTCAGTGTAGCAGGCCTTTGCAAGCTTCTCTCTCATTTTCCAAGGGACAGGAAACTGTGTCTGTCCTCATAGAAAGACTAGGGACAATCTGAGCTTTCCCTCATCATTGTACAATGCTTCTAGATGAGAAACATTTAACAAATCTACAATAGCCGTTGCAAAAGTGGAAATACAATTTAAAGCTGAACTCCAGGCAAACAGCTAAATACACAGAAAAAAAACACAGTAGGGAGCTGTTTTATCTGCCAAAAGGATTTGTATTTCTGTCAATCCAGTCAGGAGATTTACAAATCTATCTGGCAGGGCAGAGTTATATGTAACACTTGCAGGTTTATTACTCTTGCCCAGCCTGTGGTTGGACAATGAAAGTAGAAAGCTCATCTCTATCTCTCACACTCTGTGCTCTCCTCCTATCAGTATGCCCCTTGTTATAACATGAGTATTGCAACTCCACTTACGGGTTCCTTGTGCTGCTTCTCCCTATGCCAGTCTATGCTATGCTGTACAGAGACTGCAAGAAGCTGTTGTGAGAATAGTGAGGACTAATCAACCCAAACTGTGTGGGGAGAATGTGGAAGTCATACTGAACACACTGCCATCATAATTCTCCAAAATTTTGGACTTACTGAAACGAATTGGACCCTACCCAGAACCAAAAAAGCAGATGAACTTTGCTAAGCATTTTTCACTGGCTTATTTTAATATTCCTTTTGTCTATGTTGTTAATATATTTTCTGCAAATATTTCCTACACTGTGTTTCTCTACTTTTCATTAAAATGATATTTCATTTACCGTATTTTTCGCTCCAAAAGGCGCACCTGACCATAAGACACATCTAGGGAGGGTAGGGTTCTGTGTAGTTCCTGACAGCTGAGACAGGTGGCGCTGTGATTACAGTGTCACGTTCTCAGTGATCACACAGAGCAGAGGAAGAATGGACGTTCTTAGTCTGCTCTACGGGCTCTATGGTGAGCTCTATGCCTTGGTCACGGATCCCCCAGATAAGCGGGGTAACCCGAAAACCACGGCGAGGGGGGCGGACAGGATCGCCGCTGTTTCTTTCATACAAGTGATCTAATCAGATCACTTGTATGAAAACTATCGGCGGCTCCACACTTACATTTAGCTCTGCTTGTCAGGAGCAGGGCTAAATGTACAAAAAAACTACTCGCCCGGCGCCTGAAACTGCACGTCCCGGGCGTCAGGCCATAGGCATTCCCTCAGCTTTCACACATTCACTCGATAAGACGCACAGACATTTTTGCCCGCCTTTTGGGGGGTAAAAAGTGCGTCTTATGGAGCGAAAAATACAATAATCTCTGTAAGTTCTAACCAGAAATGCAAGAATTGTCACCCTTATGTAGCGAGCTACTGTATTGTAAACTCTGCTACATTCCTGTCTGGATGTGGCAGATAAATAGTTTAAAAGGTCAGAATTGCAACAGTGCAAGCTGTGAACTATGTGGGTTTGCATTAAAACGTGTGTTGACAACTACTGTGAGAAAGTAAAGGGTTAACTGCGTAGTTAACCTGCCCCATTGGCGATCACTCTTAGGTCTGGTTTACATAATTATCGCAACACACGGTAGGTGCGCTAGTGTGTTGTGTCACCACTCATTCTGAATTTATATGCAAATCCCAGTGTTTCCTGTAAAGGTTGGACTGGCCCTGCCCCCTCCCACCGCACAAGCATTTCCTTATGCCCTTTGATGTGATGGACATCCTGACTGGCCTATGGGGAAGCTTTAGAGGCAGGAGTGGGCAGGAACAAACTCGAATTCATTTTGGCACATGTTTGTTTTTTACAAAAGGTAACCTCTGTATTGTTTCATCATGTTCAGCTTAAATTGGCAGGGTTTGTGTTCACTTGCATTGCGGCTTGTACATGTTCCGCATAAATCTTCTATACTTTGTTTTATAAATAAGTCATTACCTGTATATATTGGCAGGCATGCATCTCCACTGCATTATGGACCCTACTGACAATCAGGCAAACCCCCATGTTAGAGGTGGTGTTATGTAGATCCAGTATCATGTCATATGCGTTTGCGCTCCCTCTGGGGCCTAACAGCCGGTTGATCTCCTTCGCTCTCAAAACTTCATATGGATCATCAGGTGAGTCTGGAGCACTAGAGGAAAGATTTGACTAGTTATTATTAGGATATTGCAGGAAATGCCACATCGATATAAGAAAAACTGCATGCACAGTGGCTTAGTTGTTATTGCCATTGCCTTGCAGTGATGGAGTTTAACTCCCCCCCCCCCCCTCACACACACACACACACACACACACACAGTGCTAAAGTAAGGACTTACCTGAAATGATGCCTCTTAATCCAATCTTCTTCTCTCCTGTAGTTTTCAGCTGTCCCTCCAGCGCTGGTGCAGGTCTCCGATACAGCGCCGACTCCTCTGTCCTCCTCTTCGCTCATGTCTCACGGTGTTCAGGTTCTCTTTATTGACCCTGTCACCTCCAATACAGGAGTTCTAGCACAGCACTGTGCTGGAACTCCTGTGACAGGTGAGAGGGGAAGACGGCTCTCCCATCTCACTGTGTACACGGAGCGGCAGGGTTACTTTTAACTCTGCCGCTCTGCTCCCTGAATCGGCGGCAGGGACTCGGGACAGGAGAGAGGCGGCCGGGGGGAGGACGGAGCCAGCATGGAGAGAGGTAGGTGCAGGGTGGAGACTGCGTTCACTTGTAAACGTACAATCGGCTTCCCCGCTGTACATTTAGTCCTGCTTGTGCATGTTGCGGGCGTCGAGGGATTTCACACTGCTGCCGCCCCTCTGTGCCCGGTTGGGCCTCGGTGGCCTTGTGGGGAATCCTGGCCTGCTCCCGGCCGAACATCTGAACTGCGCATGCGCCTGCCACAAAAAACGCCTGGCTCAAAAAAACACACAAAAATATGGTGATCGGGGTGCCGTACCTTTTCAAGAGCAATTTGGTAACCAATCGCTGGCCAGAATGAGCGACACGCGCTTTCACTATGGATTCCTCACAGGCGGAGTGCATTTGGTATCACTCCGCCTGTGACAGGAGCCGACGCCATAGAGGAGGCATCGGCTTATGCAGCTCTGCTCCCTCCGGTGCCGCCTCGCTTCCTCTAGCGCTGGCTTTGTTGGCACTGCTGATTTTTTCCCGCCTCTCTTTATTGCACAACTAGGTCTTATTTTCGGGTAGGTCTTATATTTTAGCAATTCCCAAAAATAGTACTAGGTCTTATTTTCGGGGAAACACAATAGTCACAAGGGTAGAAAATATATGTTCTCTCTGTATTTTCTTGACTTTCGTTACACAATATAACATGACGTAGTTTTATCAACTTGTCGTGGGACCAGGGGTGCCCTCTTACCTGTGGTCCGGCGGGTGCGACGGAGATCGTAGGTTCCTTCCTGGGGTGAATTGGTGCCCGGCAGGCTGCAGGTGAGCACATGAGCGCATGCATGACATGTGTGCGTGACATGCTCATGTGGCACTGCTGTGGCTTCTTAGTCGCATTGGGTGCTGGTCATTGCTGGGGACGGCTTGCGAGCACTCCTCTCCCAGCCGTCCCATTGGTTCACAGGGACCTGTGGCTTCCTGGTTGCCTGGTTGCCCAGCCAAGACTCGTTGCTCAGTTATTCTGCCATTCACAAAGCAGCTACGACGCCTCATTTCATGTTTCCTGTTTCCTGTCTCCTGTCTCCCTTCCCTGCTATTTGGATCTCCTGGTTATCGATTCATGGCTTGCCTCACCGTTTATGATACTCGCTGCCTGCCGGTCCCGGTTGTTACGCCACTGATTGGGGTCCAATCCAGCAAACAGGCGGACTTCGCTCCTTCCCTAACACAACTAGACAGGAAGTCAGGTAAAAATCTATATGATGAAAGTATATTTAGGGTTCAGGCATACAACACTGCACATGCTTTTAAGGCAATGTGTTATTCAACCTTTTGTGGTGCACTGCTGTGCGTTATCATGAGTCAACCATCGCAAGACAAAAGTCTTGCGATGGTTGTAAGGTGTGTGCCCATCCTTATAAATATGCTGGGCCCTCTAGTTCTGCAGTAACCCATCTTCTCCTTTGACTGCTGGGCTCTGTAACTTTACCCTCTCCCCGCTCGAGGACCTGTTCACACGACGTCCGTTTTGTGTGCTGACCGGCTCCGTACGCTGCTGCACTCAAAATGCATCCCAATGTATCCCTATGTGTTTTATGGGCTACAGTTCTCACGTGCGCAGTCCGTTCAGCTTACGACAGAAAAAATACTGCATGTCACATTTTGTCAGGTCCGGAAACGCAAACGCGTCAAAAACACGTCAAAAACGCACTGCGCTGCAGCTAACATACTAACAGCCCCACTCCAGCAACAAAAAAAAAAAAAAATTTTTTTTTGCTTGAACGCATCAAAAACGCGGCCAAAAACGCACTGCATCAGCAGCTCCACGTCTGCTGATCAGGACCTGATCTCATGTGAACAGGCCCTGACACATAATCCGGCTCACAGGCTGCACTAACCCGGACTCACCACCATGGAGGTGCTGATGAGCACGATGACCATCTGCATCTCAGCCCTGGCGATCCTGTGGAAGCTCTTCCGCTGTCTGAAGTCAGAGATTTGGGTGTCAGTGCCCAAGGTGGTCCGGCACATGGATTGCCAGTGCATCCGGAAGAAGGCCACGCACACATTGCACAGCACGGTGATCAGATTGAGGAAGGAGCTGAAGCCGGTGTACATGTAGGAGCAGGTGGCATTGGTGGACACGTTGGTTCCCGAGTCCAAGAAGCACCAGGTCCAAGGCACCAGGTTATATTATAATTTTTTTTCTCTTACCCAACTGGTATGGGGGGCGGCGTATTCTGCCGCCCCCCTGGAAAGTGTAGATATAGGGCATAGCTCTGCAGTGGAGACCTAGGTTACAGTGTATGAGGCATAGCCCACAGGAAACAGATCTTCCCACTGTACATGTGAAGAGCTTTGTGAGGTTGGATCTCATTGGATTACATTAGAGTCAGATTAAATTAAACTCAGTGGACCTTTTGTCTATTGTACATTTTCACTACCTGGTAAATATTAATAGCAGTTCACAGCTTGATGTCTTCATTGGCCTGGAGCAGCTGTTTAACCACTTGAAGCCCACAAGCCCTTTATAAACGTCATGGGCTTCGAGTGGTTAAACCAAGCTCATGGCAGCTGCTCCACTTTTACATGCCTGGTAGGGTGCTAAGAGATGATTGGCTGCAGTCACTGTTCAGATAACTCCTTTGATTTATGGCCAGCTTAAGACTCTAACCCACAACAATAATGTGGCTCGGGCATTCTGACCTCCTTCAGATTTCACTTGCTGCATGCTTGCTCCACGCGACCGGCGTTTCCAGAAGGAGTCCAGCAAAGGCGTATTTCTTTCACTATAGGTTTGTCATTAATCATAAAGCCATTTAATCTTTAACGTCTATTAAGCTGATGACATCTTTCTTCCAATAAGAGAAGTCTGGCTGCTCAGCAGTAAGGAATGCAGAGGTCATCAGTTTGTGATAAACATTCTGCTATTATATATTAACACAAGCAGCTAGTACAGGGGTAGGTTACCTCAACACTCCAGGAGTTGTGGAACTACAAATCCCGAGGCACTGCAAGACTGGCAGCCACCGGCATGACTCCCAGACTCACGATGGGATTTGTAGTATCTACACAGCTGAAGTCCTGAGGTTGCCTACCCCTGAGCTAGCATATATAAAGTGTACAGAGAGCAGTCAGAAGGATGCATACGCTTTTCACACACATATGTGCTTGAATTATATCTCAAGGGCAAACTTTGTGTTATAGTTTTGGAAAGAGAATAGTTAAAATCACTGTCAGATTTTTTTTTTTTGTCTGTCCCGTTGAGGAAACCTCTCTTCACTTCCTGTCCTGGAAACACACCAGGAAGTTAGACAAAATCACTCCAAAGTGAGCATAAAATCCCCTCAGACATATTTCCTAGGAACAGGTGTCACCATTATAACACGTCTTCTCTATTCATGTTTAAGTGTCAACTCTAAAGTTTTGGATTTCCCATCACTGTGATAATGGTAAACAGGGCAAATAAAGAGGGTCAATTCTCCCACCGGGGACACAGCAATAAACACCCGACAGGTGTCTCTGCCCTATCCAAAATATAAAATAATCTTAAAATAAACATTTTGACTTTAAATTATGTAAATTAAAAACTATTTTTGTAGTTTTGGATAGAGTGGGAAAGGGTTAAAACTCCTGTAAGGTTGTAATTGCTGTCTGTTTGGGTGACTGCTATCTAAGAGGGAAATCCCTTTTGGCCTCCTCTCACTCTCTGTTGCATCTCTGGGACAGGAGGTTAGAAGAGAACTATGGAGTAACCTTTTTTCCCCCCATAGTTCTCTTTAGGGTCATATAGTAACGTTCTCCCGTGGCCTAAAACTCAGCCTATAGCGGGCTATATGCGGAGAGCGCCTCAGCTGGGACGGATCCTGACAAGACTGTCGAGATCCAGCCCGCTGGCTGATTGACAGTAGGCTCTGCCTATCTAGAGGCAGAGCCAGCTATGTCCGCCACCTCCCCCGTCCGTCCCCCCAGTCAGGGCTGAAGGTTCGGAGAGGGGAATCCCTCCGCAGGGAGAGGATCAGGAAGTGAGAGGATCCGCGGTATGTTTTCACTCACTTCACGAGCAATAGAGCCAACGTGTGACAGTTTCAATGTCATAGTTGTACTCAGTACTTGGTTTGGGCCCCTTTTGCAGCAATTACTGCAATTACTTTTGCACGATATTCTAATTATTCGAGTTTCACCTGTATCTATAGATACATATCTAGATATACAGTATGTATGTGTATACATATATATATATATACACACACACACACACACACACATTTACTAGCCAGTGTTACATACAGTCCATGCTGGTGTCTTCCGACAGCAGCTCCAGCGGCTTTCCCTCCGCACACAAATCACTGGAGGTTGCTTACTCGGCACTGCTGCCATTTAGAAAACTCCCTGTATTTTTTTTTCAATGAACATAAGGCATTCTCCGATTGGATGAGGTGGATATTGTGACGTCATAAGCCCCTCATTTCCACCTTGTCCAATCAGAGGAGCCCCTGTATTATTCATTGAGAAAAATGCAAGACATTCTGTGAGTTCTCTACAAGGTGGTACCCTCTAAGGAAAGTGATGTCATTCCATTAGAGGCGTTTTCTGTAGGAAGTACACTCTTTGCCAGGAATCAGGCGTATAATACGGTTGTTTTATCCCCACCCTAATCCTCCCTGCCTCCTGCTCTTTGATCAGCCACTTCTTATTTTACTAAATGCTACTGTCAGGAGCCACACTGTTCTGTGCAGTGATATAAGCATAATAACATACTTAGAGCGAGGTGCAGAAAGCCTAGGACCTCACAGCTGTGCAGCTTGCAGAGCTTAAACCAAGAGGTCATAGAAAATCCCTGGTCCTGCTGCAACGCCTGCACAGTAGCAGAAGGATCCCGATGCCTGCACAATTCCTGCACGATAGCTGGAAATCATATAAAGCCACAATAAACACAGATCTGCAATTTTAAATGTATGCACTATTTTAACTTGACATTTTCTAGAATGTTTGCATTAAGAAAAAAAGAAACTTTAGCACCTCTGTAAGGTCTTGTATATACTGTATTGTAAACCCAATGATCCCCTTGTGTGCACAGTAAGAGTTCAATAACAGCAGATCATACTGATATACAAAACATTACTAATCTTGACAGGTTCATTTTAAACCCCCATAGGCTATTTCAGGCCTGTGATACTAAGACACATGGGTCCACATGATACTAGGACACATGGGTCCACATGGGTTGCAGCCTCCACTGCCCCTCTGAAAAGCGTTCTATGGTGGATCTCTTTTCAGATGGGGTGGAGCGGCAGCTGCCAAGTGTTACTGCTCCCTCCTGAATGAAGTTTTTTTATGTTTTTTTGATCACAGTGGGCATTTTCTATTGCAATCCCTATTCATTACAATGGCTGTGTTTGGCAAGCTGCACCGCCTGCCAAACACAACATGGTGTATGCCACGTTGTGATGCAAAGCATTGCAGCAATGTATACAGCACTGTTTGGATGCAGTGCTGACATTACAGCGGGCGACTGGGGGGGTGGGCAGATTGACGGCCTGGTTTTACTGCCCTCTTGCCACCCATATAAACAAGGTCTTAGTGTTAAAACAGATATTATATAGACACATAAACATGACATATAACTTACGATAAGATGTCCAAAGTGAAGCACCGATTCAAGTCTTTTTCATAATAGCGCACTCCTTTTTCAGATGCCTTCGGATTGGACAGAAGAGGTACAGCGCTGACCGTGTCCCTTTCCAGCTGGGAAGAGTGTTTGAGCCAGTGTTTCACCAGGAAGACACCCGACATCTCGTTGCCATGGGTGCCGCCTGCCACGGCCACGCGATGAAGGGGATCCACATAGACCGTTCCCGGCATACTGAGAAGTACAATGAAAAAGATTCAAAATCTGTTGGGTGCAGCTAATGTCATAAACAAGATGGTGGCGGTCAGCAGCATTTAGATGTTTTTTGCCCCACAAGGAAGGACATGGCCTTAGGGACCACAACA